GTATAACTTTTTACGACTCACTAACATTCCGCTTGCGACCCACCAGTGGGTCGCGACCCATAGTTTGGGAAACGCTGAGCTATATTAAATTTAAAGCGCTAAGTCACCTTTTATCTAGACCATGTTGATTTTGAGTATGTATGTACTATGAAACTAGCACAAGCTTCCCTTAACGATTACGTACATATATTAACGTTGTGAAAGATTTTGTAGACTTGTGGTAATAGCTAGTCACGTGAGATGTAACCTCGTAGTCTAACCACTAAATAAAAACCCTTCCTTGATCTTAAACTAGTTAGATCACGAGATATAGTTAGAATATTTGATCGAAATGGTTATTGATCTCGAGAAGTGGCTTAATTTTGGAACATTGTTTTTTTTTTCGGAATTGGGTTCTTTCTTCTGGTTCCTTTTGCTAAATTCCTTTATATATTGAAATTAATAACATTGAGATTCATGTTGTATTATTTATTAACGTTTGTACCTAGTATTCGCCAGGCACGTGTTTACTAAGTGTTTTTTGTAAATGATAAAATTTATAGTTGTTTGAAAGTTTTATTTTGGATTTCTGTTATATTTTAATAAATTGTTTTTGTTTAACCCTGGTTGTAGTGGAGTGTGTTTCAATCCGTTACATCTTAAGAAAAGATTGAATAATTTACTTTAATTAATCCTTCAACAAAAACTGTAGTTTTGTTGTTATTTGGGCCAACACTCACAAATCTCTTACTAATAATTAAAATAAAATACAACCAGAGAAATGTATAAAATAAAATAATAGTGCGATGAAAGAGAATGAATCAAGATTTCGCAAATTATCTGTTCGTACATGCACAGATGGTGTAGTCCAGTCTGTCAGAATATAAAACACGGATGCCTAATTTTTATTCTAAGTGATGTAGCTAGTTACGACCTTCTGTTTTTAAGAATTCTACAAATCTGAGATAAATTGGAAAAATCATGTGCTCGTATTGAATAAAAAAGCAATACAATAACAAGTAGCTAATTATTTGTAATTAAGCACAAAGCTACACAAAGGGCTATCTGTGCTCTGCC